ACCGCATGTCTCCCCGAGTATACGGAGGATTCGCTTAATGCTAAAACGGCACCATGGGTACTCTCCCAGGTCTGTGCGTCTTGGAGACAGACTGCATTAGCATCGGCAGGATTATGGGCAAAAGTTCATTTGAAAATGGACCTCTACGCGAATCATATGGAGTCGGTATTCCGCTTAGGGACAGTATTGGACAGAGCGGGAAAGCATTTCCTCAGAGTCTCCATCCAGGGTCATAAGGACTTCTCACAGCACCCGGTTTTTGCGATGATTCTGCCCACATCGGCACGATGGAAATCTCTCGACGTCGTTGCATCGCTCCGCTCTTTCCGTTTGTTCAATAGTATATCACATTGTTTGCCTCTCTTGGAGACCTTGAAACTTAAGGTGTCCGGTTTCCATCGGTCAGACATACGGCCCGATTCCACTAGTGTTTATGGCTTCCGCCAAGCTCCCCGCCTCCGAGAGTTGTCAGTAACACAACAACTCGTGTCGGACACGCCTTTCTTTTCGAACTTGTTTGCTCTACCATTGGAAAAGATATCAGAGTTATATCTTATCTCGACGACCTCCGATGTGGTATCTCTCCTCCGATCTAACGGAGCCAAACATTTGGTCACTTTTGTTATCACGTTGGTCGATTCCGAGGATCGTGCCCTGCCGCAACGAATCGAAATTCCCGTGATCAGACAGGTTGGTCTTCAGAATCTTGCCCTCATCGGTTCTGCTGTCTGGCTTTTGTCCCGACTCCGCCTACCAGCCCTTCTGAGATTAAAACTCTTTCCCTCTGAAGGACCTGTGATCCCAGTGATATCTGAACACACAGCACCAGCTTTGACAGAGCTGACGATAAACTCTGATGACTTTATCCATGGACGCGCATTGACCAATATGCTGCAGTGGACTCCAAATTTGAGCGCAATGATACTTGAAATCATCATAAAGGGCGATACCCTCTTCACCGCACTGGGAAGATCCCGAGACGGAGTTTTCGAGTTGGTTCCGCACTTGAAAATATTTTCCCTCAAAGGCACTCGGTTGGAGTTCTTAGACCATGGCCGTGTTATTACTGATATGGTTGAATCCCGACGCGCTATACCGTCCGGCAAGGGACGGGCAGCACTGAAGATAGTCTATTTGAAAGACGACCTTGGGGATTCGGAGCGTTGGGAGAAATTGCGCCATGGAGGTCTAATTGTACGTTATGACGCTTAAGTATAGGGAGCCAGATCATTCAGTGTTACGTTACGTTTCAATTTTCTACCTCTACGTCTTTTCGTTTTGTTATCCCTTTGTGTTTAAGAAGCTACTTTGGCATCCACATTTTTGCTATACGCTACTGTACATGCTATGAAATTAGTTCATGCCGAGTTACCGTCCAGTTCGAATCTCCAGAACAGAGGACATCGGCTGCAACGGTGGCCTACGGATCGGAGAATGTCGCAGCATAAATCAAGACGAAGCCCGTTGCTTACGTCTAGGTTGTGAAGAACGCTGGGCACACAACTCCACTCGAAACTAACCCAAGTCACATGGCTGCATATGCGTTTACGCCGAATACTGAAGTTCACAGTACAGGTCCCGCAGTTACATAGTTCGGTAAAATCACAATACTTATAACCACCATCGAGAGCCTCACTCAAGTCTCCACGATTGCATATGCCACATTCCACTGTAATCTTAAAGGATCCACTGTGTAAAGGGCAACGAGCCTCAGACGCATCAAATCGAAAGGCTTCTGTTCGATGGTCTGTCATATTAGTGAGTCACAAGCAAGGACAGTCAAGAATTATCTCATACTTGATCGATGACTCGGTAAAAATCAGACGCAAGGCTGTAAGCTAGGCCCAGATGAGTTAGGACTGCATGCTTGCATTCTACAGTGTTATTATAACAGCTATATTTCACTCTAGGGTGTCCTTTGACCTAAATGCAAGTTAGACTCAGCGGGGGCAAATCAAAGTTTCAAAGAGTGTTCACCCTAACTTGGGGAGACCAAGCACGCGTCGGCCATAGAGATTGAGCATTTAGAACCACACTGCTGGAATCGGTCAAGATGCCGGGTTCCATAGCGAGTAAACGAGTGACGCTAACGCCAGGGAGACCGAGCGCTTTGTCACTTGGATCGTTTGAAATGAATGGGATATTCTTGAGGACGGGAAGGTTTGTGCGTTCATCCCACTTAGGGCGATGAAGATAAACGGTATAGGATTTGCCTTGAGTTTTCAACGGATCGACATAAGTCCGGGGAAACGGGCTCCATCGGTTCAGGAGGGAGCAACACCCAAAGTCCGAACAGTCTTGTTTCTCGTGCGGTGGTGGCCATGTTTCTGAGGGTTTCGGTACAGAGTAGCCATGTCCTAGAGGCTGAGTGATTCCAATGAGATGCAAAGTCTGATGCAAGAATACTGGACTAACGCGATTTTCGTGTACAACGCCTAAAGCGTGTTTTAGCCATTGGTGTTCGGGGCCAAGGGGACCTGGTATTTTCTGGTGGCCATGATGATTGACAGTAATCTGAGGAAATATTAATACTGAATGAGTAACAACCCTCAGAAAAACGTACGATTGGAGGAGGTGCAGGTTCCGCGTTGGGCTGGACACAATTTCCAGGCTGCAGCAATGGACGATGACTGTTCTACATGCAAAAACAAAGATTGAATGGGTGACAACCCTCAGGAAGACGTACAACTTGGGGAGGTGTAGGACCCGTGCTCGGCTGGACGCGACTGCCGCCAAACAGCGGCGGGGGATTCTGACCATTCTACAGGTTGATATGTGAGAATACGGGACGCGGGACTCATAGTAGGCTGAAGGGCGTACAAGGCTATGAAGAAGTTCGTCAAAATACGGAAGAGTGACTTGCTGTTGGAAGCTTGAGATAGGCTAAATGACAAGACAGGGAGGTTCCTACCTGTGATAGCATCGCGAGTCGAAGCAGGGATTTGACGAATTGTTGACCGTCGAGGAGGCTTTTATATGCCCGTGTCTTCATGCCACTCGGACGTAGGCCAAATTATCAATAATAATAATAAAATCAATGGCCAAGACATGAGCGTACAGACCAGGTGTTGTTGGTAGCTTCTTTGTGCTATTGGACGGGTAGATCAATGCCGCACGATTAATTGAAGGGCCGTCGGAGCATCGCTTCACAAAACGAGATAACCAAAATAGCCCCGATGAGACTCTGTAATGTTCAGTTATGACTGTTGCACCGTACCTCAAATTTCACAAGCAACAGGCTGAATCTGCAAGACGGCTGGTAGGGCTACAAAAGTCTGCTACCAGCATGCGAATAAAATAAGCCAAGTATGGTTACCCGGAATTCTGATCGAACCAAGCCCGTCGTAAAATTCAGGCCATTCGAAGATAATTCCAGTGCGGATCAAGGCGATCGCTGGTCCAGGTGGGTCCCGGGACAAAGCGCGTCGAAGAATGCCAGCACAAATCACGGGGGTATAGCGAAGAAAACCAGGTACCTACTCGAGGACGGATAGAGGGATTTCATAGAGATATCTTATGCCGCAATGCCGGGATTGTTTTGTCCAAGCCAGCAGAGTCAAGACAGACAGCGAAGGTATTCTGTGAGCAGCTAGTATACCTTGAGCTTTAAGAATTAGTTCCATATGATACTTGAAAGAGTGAGACTTAATGGGAGAGCTACCCGAAGCGAGAGGTAGGCGAACAGGAATGGTTGGGAAGAAGCAAGGTTTCAGTGGCTGTGCATCGGTCCGGCTTTCTTTCCACCTACTTTCCACCTATCACAGCGGCTCAGCTTTAACATTGTTATCGCCTGTTTCTGCAGAAGCTTACGCACGTTTCATACTTGCGGCGTGTGTTTTCCAACCATTGGAAGTCACCAGGCCCGGGGTATCTGCGATCAGGAGTTTATTTTGTTATCTTCGAACATTTCGCAGGAATACTCTCGACGGGCTGACATAGCTGCGAAACTGGACCTGTCGACATCGATGGTATTGTCCTCATTATCCTCATGATACCTCATTCAAGAAGTGATATGTTCGCGTGCTGGTTGTATGTGCTCGGAAGCAATCCCTAAAATCCCTAAACCTCTGGATCGCTTCAATAGCAGTGCCGACAGGATACGCGTCGCAAGTCTCAGTTATATGCCGTTGTACCTAACAGCACTGTATACCGTATACGCTTTCCGAAGACGGTAAATTTTTCTCGAGGATTCTCGTTTGTGGGTCTAACCAGGTCTATTCAGGCGCGCAACGATGGGCCGCTTCAGTACCAGCTCAACTGGCACGGGTCGACTGACCATATCTAGTTGGTATTTGCCTGGATCAGACTAAAGTGGATTACGCTTGTCTGATGCGCCTCTATATCCTTGAATCTACTGGCTTTGCATTACACATCTAGTCAAAGCGCCTCAACATCCCTACTTTTAAATATGCCGAGCGCTGAGAGTCCTGTTCTGAATCTGGGAGAGGTAGCATCCCGGCCAAAGAAGACAGAGGCATCGTTTTGTACTATGGTCAATCTACAGATATTTTCTTCCGGCTCTCATTGACTTTTCCCTGCCCTTACCAATGGCCCTACGGACCTACAGTATGGCCGGATGGACAGCAAACGCGGCACATTCTCCTGCGGTGGGTGTGTCTTCAAAGATCGGTACGCGCATCTTCATCCACGGTTTGTAGGGTTTCCATTTACTTATTACCTTGCAGTAAAGGGAGAGCTATCCGAAGCGCGAGGAAAAACACGATCAGCAACTAAACAAAAATGGACTTGTACCGATATTGATTACTGAAAAACAGGACACGCTGTCGATATTGAGAGCAAGCGCGTCCCGAATTTGTTTCCCCAGGGACTTGCATCTTCTCCCAGAAAACTCAGTCTGGGTCGTGTGGTAGCCTGAGAAGGATGACTATGGCAACTATAAATCAGTCTCTGCATCTAGTCAAATTTATGGAGACAACCACTTTAGAAAAGGGCGAAGGAATCACAGCCTCGATTCCTGCTTTTCTAAACATCGCACTGTTGGCGCTATGGTATAGTGGCAATACTTGGGATTTTGATTGGCTATGAAGGATATTATCTTCCCACAACCCAGGTTCGAAACCTGGTAGCGCCTTGGGGGTGAAAATTTGGACTTTTTCGTTTTTTCTGCTCCGTTTGAAAGCTGGCACTTGGCACTGCAACTTTATTTTTGTGGAACGTTTGGTATGCACTGTGCGTAGGGAGTATACTGCGGAACTGTAACACGGCAGCGGCGGGATTGAATAATGCCTTTTCAGTGCCGGGTTGGCTGGTATCGAGTCTGATGCGAAGCTATCATTACGAATACGATTTAGCTAGCATCGTGTATCAGTACCTCGCCTGTGTTCATCATATACTGAATACGTAGCGACCAACTTTTATCCACACGCCGAATGCTTCTATACCCCTTGTATTCAACACTGAAATACAGGTCCGAGGAGAATTAGGCGACAAATTCGGAGGTCAGAAGCGGAAATGTCCAATCGTCTCTTTATCACTGACCAATATGCACCTCCAGGAAAGCTCATGAAGGAGACTACTATCGTCTCTGCATTTCGGAAGATAATACTTGCTCAAGTGCGAGGTGCTGTAGGAGGAAGCCGTTGATCAAGGCGAAATATAGTCGCAAGTAATTAGTGGTAGAATCAAGCATGTCAGTATCGTAGGTTTACGGCGACATAGCTTACTCGCTCATCGTTGTCTGGTCCATTCGTCACACTCCGATTATGAGCCGAACAGACGGCTCCCAGGAGTTGCCGCAAAGAAGCAATTCCTTCCAACAGCTAACAATTGCATGTAGATCATGATAAACAGCGGTTCCATTACGACAAAGTAAAAGGATTGATTTGAAGAAGCTGATGTGTGTGGGTATGAACAGTGCGATGAATCAGTAAAATCAAATAAAACAAGAAAGCAAGATGCGAACGAAAGCGATAATGCAAGCGAAGGTGAAAAGTTAAATCCGAGAATAAATCCAGCCATAAAAATCATAAATTAGTCCTCATCATAATGGGAGGGAGGGCGGTCACTGTCTGAGGTATCTGTTTTCGTTTCCGTACGCGTACGCTGGGGGCGGTAACACGCTCGGGTCGGGCTCGAACTCGTAGGCATCAAAGGCGCCCTTACGGAATCCCTTCTTATCTCGGGACCAGGGAGACGCGGGCGTAAGGTCACCGACGCCCTGAGGTGTGAACGGCGCTCGAGGATCAGAGAACGTCCACACCCCGTCTGATCTTCGATTCGCAATACGCATGTTAGATCCCGGCGTGTGCACTGCGGAAGCTTCTCAGTACAGCCAACGGCTGCATCAACGGAATTAGTACGCACCAAACTGTGGCGTCTCTCCACCTGGTGCACCAAAGGGCGTTATTCGCGAGGCGAGGTGGGAGCGGTCGACGACTGTAGTGTGTCGGGAGAAGATGTAGTCTTCCGAGCCTGAACCGGAGGATTTGCGACGTCGGAAGGTGAAGAAGAGGATGATGGCGATGACGAGAAGGGCGACGGAGGCCAAGGTGACACCTGCGATGAGCGGTCGCTTGTCAGTGGACGACGGGCTCGTAGAGACGGTGGGTGTCGAAGATAACGATGACGCCGTCGATGACATGATACACTGCCGCTCGGTTAGCAGGCGCAATATGAAACAGAAAGATGACGCACGTATTGCCAGCTCACTAACCACCTTGACCACGAAACCTAATACACCCTCCAACGACGATAGGGATAAATCCCAGAGCCGCAGTTAATTGCCGTGACAGTCGGGAAGAAAGAGCGCCTGCGAAAAGATGGACCTGGGAACAATGAGGCTGGTCACATCAATTGATATGTCATAATTAAGCGCACCTGATGAAAGATGGAAAACGTCAAGCAGCAGAGCTTCGGGAGAGGGCAAAGTGAGAGGAAAGGAGGCTTGGAGGAGGTGGAAGGTGGAGGAAGGGTCCAACGATGAAAAGGAACCATAATTCTCCCGCATGGTTCCTGATACCGTCTCGGATCGAAAAAGGAAATGCCGAGATCACGTGCATGTCACGTCGCGTCGAGACTCAGATCGGCCTGATCTGAAATTCAGGACGCGACGAGTATTGGACGAGTACAGCCTCCTCACGAACACTTCACAGGAACGCTCCGGTCCTATACTAAATATTATGAAATGGCTAAAAGACAGACAGACCCCGTGACTAGGCTGTTTGAACACACCACATCCTGATGTTTGACTGTTGCAAAAGAGATTCGTTCAGCTTCCGCATTGATGGACCCAGGAATTGAACCAGGGACATCATACTCAAGCGACTCGCACAGTGCGCCACCGTGCCGTCGATTAGATGTGCCGACCATATTGACTGAGTGGACAATGAATTCAGAATGTAGGTCGCATGACTGAATGATGGGGCACGTTATGTTGATCATTTGATCGGGAACACTATCTCTTATCGATTCATCTCTTGGAGTCGCCTTCGTGTCATCTTGAACACCTTCGTCACTTTGTAACTTTCCTCGTCATACAGACCTAGTGTCTGCATCAAGTTATCCACGATCGTTCAAGTTCTTTCTTTGTCAGCTCCATATATTTTAGGAGACAAAGCAATGAATATCGACTCTGTGGAAGAAGTGCAAATTCGGTCAACGGTGAGCCTCGACGTCTTTGGGATTCTGATGTCTGTCTTATATAGATTCACGTAGATGTCGCTATCTCAGCCAAATTCTCCCATTTCACCCGTTACACGCTCCGCTCATACGCCCTCAGGCAGATTGTTGAAATGTCCTGAATGCGGATACACGATGCCAGGAGAAAGCCTTGCCCCCATTCTCCCTTCATCGCGATTTGAGGAGCTTTCGTCATGTAATGACCCACTTGTCGACTCGGAACGTGCGGCTCTCGAGGCTGTTGTCCGCGAGGGCAGAGCCAGCCTCTCTTCTCTATCGCAGCACATCGTTGCTGTCAGAGAAACACTGAGAATTCTCCTCAAAGATCAGGCACGCACCGTGAAGCATATCAGGGAAGTCAAACGCCTTCTCAGTCCCGTTCGCAGACTACCCGCAGATGTGTTGATCGAGATATTCACCGCGTGTCTCCCCGAGGATCCAGATCTCCCAGATGATACAGATTCCCTTGATGCTCAACTTGCGCCATGGGTGCTCTCCCAGGTCTGTGCATCTTGGAGACAGACCGCATTAGCATCGACAGGATTATGGGCAAATATTCGGTTGAGAATGGACCTCTACACGAATCATATGGAGTCGGTATTCCGCTTAGGGACAGTATTAGACAGAGCGGGAGAGCGTCTCCTCAGAGTCTACATCCAGGGTCGTAAGGACTTCTCCGATCATCCGGTTTTTGTTTTGATTCTGTCGACATCGGCACGATGGAAGTCTTTGGATGTTGCTGCACCACTCCATTCTTTCCATTCGTTCAACAGCATATCACATCATTTCCCTCTCTTGGAGACCTTGAGGATTAAGGTGTCCAGTTTCCATCGGTCAGACATACAACCCGAATTCACTTGTGTCGTCCATGGCTTCCGCCAAGCCCCTCGCCTCCGAGATTTGTCAGTTACACAAAAACTCGTATCGGATATGCCCTTCTTTCCAAGATTGTTTGCTTTACCATTGGAAACGATATCAGAGCTACATATTGAATCGACAGCCTCTGATGTGGTATCCTTCCTCCGATCTGATACAGCGAAGCATTTGGTATCTTTGATTATCACATCCGTCGACTCGAAGCGTCATGGCCTGCCACAGCAAATCGAAATTCCAGTAATCAGACATGATTGCCTTCAGCGCCTCTGTCTCGTCAATTCTGCTGCTGGGTTGTCTAGACTACAGCTCCCGGCTCTTCGGAGTTTGGAACTCTTTTTATTTAAAAGAGCTATCCTCCCAACTATATCCGAAGACACGGCACCCGCGTTGACAGAGCTGATTGTATGGTATGGTCATGAAGTCGATGGACGTGCAATGGCCGATATATTGCGCTGGACTCCAAAATTGATATCACTGGTATTTCATTTTTCCCCCGCCTTTTCGACCGATACTCTCTTCATCGCCCTTGGAAAATCTCAAGAGGGCGTTTTCGAGTTGGTTCCACACTTGAAAACAATGTCCTTCGAGTCCGCTCGATTGAAGTTCTCAGACCATGGTCGTATCGTTACTGATATGATTGAAGCCCGACGCGCTAAACCGTCCGGGGAGGGACAAGCAACACTGAAGGAAGTCCATTTGGGAGATGACCTTGGGGAGTCGGCGCGTTGGGAAAACCTGCGCCAGGAAGGTCTAATTGTTCATTTTAATTCTCGAGTATAATTCAGGACGGCGATTACAGCCTCTTCACAGGAATGCTCTGGTCGTATACTAAATATTAGGAAATGGATAAAATACAGACAGGCAAAGTCTGCTACCATCACTAGGCTATTCACATCTGGAGTTTTGGCTGTCGCAAAAGAGATTTGTTCTACTATGCTGCATTCAAATTGATGGACCCAGGAATCAAACCAGGGAGGGTGTACTCGAGTGACTCAGTGCGCCATATCACCATCGATTGAATGCACCAACCGTATCGACAGGACAAGTGCCAGAGTATCATTGCATTTAAATCGGTAAATCCTTCCTTGAAGATTCCTCGTATCCTCGACCTTTAAGAATTCCTTTCATCATAACGCCGTCCCAGCAAACCACTCAAAAAAAATAGAGTCCGAGTCTATCCAGAGGTCGGTGCTTGTCGATCTGCTCCGTTCAATGCGATGATACCACAAGGCAACCGCAACAGGTGCCCTTCCTTCCTCAGCCTGTACTTCACATCATCCAAATTGTCTCATGCTGCTTACAGGGATCGAACATGGAATTCAATGTGGATGCCTTTCCACTACAGCACCTTTGATATGATAAAGTCAGAGTATCACCGTCTGTATGCCATGGAGCCTTCCTCGGCACCGAGACACTGTCCTCGCCATAGCATCTAGTCAGTCCATTGGCTCTATTCAATGCATCTGGCTTGCGATAGGTCAACTTCAAAGGCCACACAAACGTAGGGATATCCTAGTCATATCCACCCCAGGCGACAAAAGAATTCTTCCAGTACCTGGTCAGTGGTGATAAAAAACT